TGAAGTTTAAGGACTCTTTTAATCCAAACTATTCTGTGATTCTATAAATGCTTCTGTGTTCTGAAAAGCTTTGGTAACATGCATTTTAAGAAATAGATCTGTAAATCTCATCTAAACTGCCCATCTCTACAGCTATTAACTTTAATTAAGAAATAATTTCTTAATTATCATGTTTTATTTGTTCCTACCAACATAACAGCATCTATTCTTTATTAAACGACAAGGGACTTCTCCCCAGATGAGAATTCTAATATCCAGTAACACACCCATACATCACTGTACATTCATTATACATACCACTGTCAATACTACTCCAGTTGCCTCCCTGAGAGCTGGTATTTACCAGTGGTTTGAAAGAACCCCTTTCCAAATCTCTCACCATTATTCTTGCAACTATAGGTTGTACTCACCAGTCAGGCTGCATTTCTGTAATTGCTTTAAGAATAAGGATTTCTTCCACCAAGTCCTACTAACTCCCCAGGTACTGAACTTTTGGGACATACTTGTTTGAGTCATAAGAACCCAATTCACACTGTGTGCTCATATCTACAGTAGGATGGGAAATTAGAGAGAAACTTTTTAATGAGCTGCCGTTACCTTCTTCTATAGAGATGGAGATTTGAGGTGAATTGTCCCTTTCACTTTTTGTGATTGTTCATTTGTGAAAGTCAAAGAATTGCATTATTGGGGATATTCACTGTGCTTTGTTCACAGTCTTCATTAAACATCTACTGCAAATGAAACAACCCTTAAATGACAGCCTTACATTTTGGCTTACCTCATATTTGCAGAAGGAGATAGACCCCCTAAAAGAGACATTCATTACTTGCTTTGCAAAACTCTTGTAGTGAACAGTTTACTCACAACTTTTGTGTTATGAATTCTAAATTCCATCTTGAATTTTATTTTAAGATGCAGGTTACTATAAGAAATATTTGGAGTAAACAGGAGAGGTCATGACTTGATTATTCTGACCAAAGCTGTGTACCATTTCCCAAAGAGTCACCTATTCCAAGCTTCTGGGCTTCTCCTTCCTCGACGTCATTTCTCCAATCTCCCTATCCACACATGCCCAAATGCTGAACAGCAAAAAAAACCCAGTAAAATATTGAGGTTCAGCTCTAGAAAGCTCAACACAGCTGACTGCACGAGGCTCTGCCTCCCCCTGTTCTGTGGATATCATTTGATAAATCCTGGGATTTCAAGTGCATGTGAAGAAACAACCCCACAGAACACAACTTAGGCTGTGGTTTCACAGGAATTTCAAGTCAATATAAAGTTGCCCTAATGGTGAAAGCAGAGTTCTGAGCCTCACGTAACTCACACACTCCTGCCCTTGATCCTGCTTTTGTTGCACAGCCATAAGGAGATGGGATGAGTCCAGATCAGAGCACTAATCTAGCAGAAAACAAATTCCTGTCTTTTTTGAGTTAGTGCACATTTGGATTGGCAAATCACTGCATTCCTCATCTAATCTGACCTTTAGAAAAAGTATTTGTTAACTCTGAATTCATCTCCTAAGATTTATACTGTGCTGTTCAGCACTCTTAACACAGCAGCAGAACCAGCACTCTGGCTGGAACCCTCCCTGTCCGTGCTGCTGTGCCACTTCTGCAACAGAGCCAAGTGGCATCCAGCACAAGGAACAATTTGCCCTCATCCAGGTGCAGGCACAGGACAGGCACACACTGACCTAGGGCTCTGCTGCCCAAGAAGGAGATATCTGGGCATTCCCTTTGGCAGATGCCCACCCTTCCCACCACACTGCTGGGCAGCAGCAAGGCATCAGCCCAGCTCATGGACACTTCCAGGGCAGGCAGCTGGAAGGGCAAGAGTCCTCTTCTTCCTTCCCCATGCTCCCTCAGCCATGGGAAGAGTAAACCACTGCCCAAAGGCATCAGCAGGAGTACAGACTGTACCAAGAAGAGGAAGCCCAGTTTCAGATTTGATGGTATTTAGGAGGTTCAGCACTGTACCTGTATGTCCCAGCCAGCCACAGCTCTGAGATCCCTGCAGGGGCCAGAGCCACCTGCCATCCCCACCAGCAAAGCCAGAATTTTAAAGCAATGAAAACTTAAGGTGAAAAATGCTCATCCACAGAAGACTCAGAAGGTTCACATACATAAGTGAACACAAGAAAGCCTTAATAATGATAAAAGCCAGTTGTTTGTGCTCCCCTACAACGAGGCAGTGGTTTTCACAATGCTATTCAGCTCCCTCTGCATACAGTACAGGGAACCCTTTCCCAACATTTAGGTGCAGTTGAAGGCTAATCAAGATCTCATAAGTTACCAGGCCTCTTACTGTTATTGAATTTCCTTCCATTTCTTATCTTGAGTAGCTATTACAATTCCAGGTATTCAAGTGAACATCATTCAGAAAAGATAAAGTAATAATCCATTGATATAGGACCCTTGTATTTAGATTTCAGCATATCCAGCTCCCTGTTTATGTTATTAACCATGGTAGAAAAAAGGGGGTTTGAATTACCCTGTATTTCCTTCTCAGATGGTGTACAGAATAGAAATTACTCAGCAGATGTCATCTATCCCTCTTCAGCAACAGAGGGATGATTTATCAGGGTAATTTTCCCTGGTTTCCTCAGGAATGCAAATTTTGCAGTGTTCACCCCAAAATGCCTCCATTAACACATCCATTATAGCCCTTTGAAAGGAGAGATGAAATGACTCATATAAGTTTGACTAAGCTTTGAAACAAAAAAATTCTTTTTAGAGACAAGGCCCTCTAGACCTTAAGGGAGGAATCTCATTCCTCCACCCTCCTCTCCAATATTAAATTAATTTTATGAAAGGAATTAGACCTATTAACCAATGTTCCTTAGTACATATGCTGCAAAACTTACACAACCTGCTAAATCTGTGTCAGCTGATAACAAGTGTTTCCTTAACATTGAGAACTTCTCATAAGATGCTGTTCTTTGCCATATAACCATTACTTGATTTCCAGTAAACCAAACTCTTCAGGGATACAGTCACATCAATCATTAATTAAACTCTATGTTGAAATGAGCCTTCCCTTAAATGTTGGTGTGTGTGTTCAAATGGCACAAGAAGTACTCAAGGTTCATGTGAGTGATTTATAATCACGAATATAAAAACAGTTCTAACATGGGCACACCAAGAATTTTCCAAAGAACTGTGAGGAAACAATGTTTCCTCACAGTTCTTTGGAAAAATCTACACAGGGGGAATAAACTGATCTAGCAGCTTGGTGGGGAGACACCTGGTCCTCCATCCCATCACTTCTACCTCTGTCCAGGATGTGGGGCTCTTCCTCCTCCTCCCTTGCACCAGCTCTGAAAATCATCAGACTCCTGGCTGACCCGCTTCAACTCCACTCCAGGAGAAAACACCAATTTTTTTTTTTTTTCTGCCTGGTTAATAAAATGCATCAACACCCAGGCAAATGTGGCAAGCAACAGAGCTGCTGGGGGAGAGGGGACCTTCTGGCGGCAGTGGACAGAGCACCCATCCTGGGCCATGTGGTGTGAGCAAGGTGCCAGGATGCTCTCCCAGAGGAACCTGAGCTGGCTCAGGAAATGGGTCAGAAAGGGCCAGGGAGGAACAGAGTGGAGAAACTGCTACATCACCTTGAGTAAGCAACTTTCATCCCAATCTTTCACTTACTTCTTCAGCAGATGAGCACTCAGGTCCCTGGCTGTGATCATTCAGGATATTCCTGCCCCTCTCTGGACAGGCACCAACCTGCTGCACAGTCGGCAAAGGGAAGAGGTAACTGTATTTCAGATGCAATAAAGCAAGAAGCCCAGTATTTTCACTTTAAAACTCCAAGGATCTGAGTTTAAGCTGAAGGGTCAGAAAATTAAGTTTCAGTTTCCAGAGTTAATGTGCTGCTGAGGTCTGTAGGCTCAGCAGGAAAAACTTGAAATGTCCTCTGTTATTGACAGACCATCACTGCCTGAAGCTCCTTCAAATAATATTCACACTCAGCAAGAAGAGACGGACCACACTGTTAAAAATATATAGTGGAAGTCCTTTAGCTTTAATGCTACAGTAGCAAAAGGAAAAAAAATAAAAGCACATTTTGGTCATAAACATAACTAAAATCTCAGGCCTTCTTTGAAAACGAGGTTGTCAAATGCACCCTTTCTTTGAAAAAATGACAGCTGCACACCTAATGATGGGATGGGGTGGGGGCAGTAAATGGAAGGAGGGTAATAACTTCTTTTTCAAAGTAACGTGGAGTTGCACTGGACATTTAAATTATGCTCTGGAAAAGGGCTCCTCTCCCACCTGTGTATTTAACCCCTGGTTTGCTGCGTTCTGCATTCAGCAGTACAGCAGAGAGGAGCCAGCAGCCTATCAGCTCCACCTGTGGCCACAGCTCCTCCCGTGGCCACCTGCCCATGTCCACGAGTGACACTGAGCGTTCTGCATCCCCCGGCTCTGCACCTGAAATGAAGGTAACCCTGGACGTACAGCAGAATCAGCTCACGCTTCAACCAGGATGCACACGGCGAGGAGCAGTATCCCTCTGCTCCATGGCACTCTGCTGGAAGTGTGTTTGGTGATGTGCAGTCCCTCCACTCCACAGGAGTCACAGCACACCACTACACCTGACACAGGCAAGCTGAGAAAAGCCAAACAAATAAAAAGGCCCCAAGAAGCTGACAGGATTAGGGAGTAAAAGTCAAAACTACTAATTCAATACATTTGAAAATCCCCTAATGATCATACCAAACCATTTTAAATCAATCCCTATTTCAAGACCTATACCATTACATCTATTTCTACCAGTTTAAGACTCTGACACAATTTCTTTCAGACTATAAAATAAAACAAGCATGCAAGCCTCAGTCCTAACCAATGATTAGTAAAGGCCCCATTTTCCAGACCTTTAAAGTAATTTTAAGTGCTCCAGCAATTAAGAGATTATATCACAACTCTGATGGACAACAGCAGAAACCTTAGAGTTCCTTCTTAACACAAAGCTCTTGGAAAAAAAAAAAAAACAGTTTATTTTTTACACAGTATTTATCGATTTATTGCAAAGTATCAGAAAGTTCTGAATGGCCTGACCAGCTTTACACGCTTTGCTGAATTTTGAAATGAAAGCAAGAGAACATTTGCTTAAGTCAACAACATAAGTCACCAGTTTAAAGGTTAACACTTGATTGTGCAGCACAAGAAACAGACGCTTTATCTTCCCAGTTCAAGGACTCCCGGATTTCTGAACAGCGGAAGTGCAACGGGCCAGGCTGCAGCACACTTTGGAGATACAAACAGAGCAGGGTGCAGCACAGAGGGTCACTTGGGCAGAGAGCAGCTCGAGCCCAGCTGTCCCCACACACTGGCATGCCAGCAGCCAGCTGGGAGACACCGCTGGGCCATCACCCCTCCTGTCCTGGCAGCAACTTTTTAACACACAGAACACTGGCACTGACACCGGCACGGTTGTGATTCATGTGGGGCAGCTGCTCTAAAGCTTTCAGAGCTCCTCTTCCAGCCAGGAGACACCAAAGCCAAGGCCAGCACCCTCACCAAGATCCCGTTCAACCAACAGAAAACCACAGGGAAGATGGAAGTACTGCACTGTTGCGAGTACAGCTGTCCCAGATAAGGGAAATATAGAAAATAAATAAGATCCTTATCTACTGTGGCAAGAAAAAGGCAGGCTCAGGGGAATAGGTGGGCAAGTGAGAGAAGCAAAAACTGTACCTAAAGAAAGAAAATCTGAAATTAAATGAGGCATGCACTCCTTATATATGCAGTTTTAGTGTGAAAATTAATCTCAAAATCCCAAAGTGAGTTAAGACATCAGCTTAGACACCGGTCAAACCAACAGCCACTCCCTGTTCCTCCAAAACACTGGCATGGGCCTGCTCCTTGCAGCCAAAGCATCTGTACCAGGGATGCCTGGGCAAGGACCCATCAGAGCTCAGTGCCACTGTGCAGACAGCGACAAAAAGAACTTTCATCAGAAATTAGTCTGGGAATCAAAGGGAGCAATTTTGAGCCAAAATGCAATTTTGATCCATTAAAAAAAAGGTGATTCCTGTAGCTGGGCTGTGTTGTCATACATTGCTTACGTTTGTTTTAATTTTAAACTAAGTGTCAGTCCAAGGTTTGTTACACAAACATATGGCACTGGTATTACATTCTATCTTGTATTTATAGAAAGTGCTGTGGCGGCCCAGGCAGCGCAGAAATGCCATAATGTTAACAACATTTATTATTAGTATGACAAAAGAACAAAAATAAGCTGGTAGAAATCGTGACTTAAAAAGTTTAAGGGACTGATTGGAATAGGGTGCCAAACTGTGGAGATATTAGCTAAAATTCTTCCAGTATTAATACTCACACAGTCCCCAGGCTGCCAAGTATTTAGTTATATAAATACAGCCTCGAAAAGGTAATTTGTTTAAAACCCAAGCCCTGAAAACTGATTAGCACATTTAATGCTAGCCCGATTAACACAGATATGCCCTCAGCTGGGTGACGGGAGCATTGAGGCAGAAGTCCGCATTCCTGTGAGTGAAGAGGAACAAAGCTTTTGGGACAAAGGGTAAACCTTAATTATGCCTTTTTATTACCCAAACTGCCATTTCCTCCTCACCCCAAACAAGGCAGGAAGGCTAATGGCACATTCACATAGCCCCATAAGCAATGTGATTGATAAATGCAACTACTAGATTTTGCCACTCCAGCTGTTACACAAAAAGCAGCAGAAGTTTGATTCTCCATCCTCTTAATAATTAAAATTTAAAAAAAAAAAAAAAAAGGAAAAAGAAAAAAGAAAAGCAGGATACAGTACACCGCTGACATTCCCGAACCTTCTGGAAACGTTTATTAACTTTGGCCACCGACCAGCGAGGGCTGCAGGAGCGGCCTGGAGTGGCAGTGCAAACTGGTTAATCTGTAGCTAGACATATCTGTGATTGGGAGGTGGTGGTGTTTAGCAAGAAATACTCCTGCCTGGCAGCCAGGGCCTCAGCACTTTGAAGGGTTACTGGGGTTGTTGATTTTTTTTTTTTTTTTCCAAAAAATTTTATTGGGAGAACTACAAAACATTTACAGTACAAAGTTTACAGTCTCACATAATCTGTAGTGAACTGACTCCCGAAAAATATATTACAACTCAAGTTGACTTATCCTTTAGTTACATTCAAAACATACTTCTGTTAAAGTAGTCCAAAAGAGTACATAGTGCTCAATCTGTACCTATGTACAAACAAAACTAAGCTACTGCTCATTCATCCACCGTCCAGGAAACTTTTGGAAAACTCCCAACTTTCTACATAAGGAAAAAAAAAATTACAGGTTTTGGAATTCAATAAACAAGATATGTTCCTGTATTATAGAAAGTTTCAGATCCAAAGATGGCCTCTGTTCTTATAAAATAGAGTGGCGAAATTTTGCTGTACTTAAATCCCATCCCTACATTCAAATTATCTCAAGCATTAGGAAAAATACTTATTTGGTTGAGAGATATTTAAGGCAAGCATGGACCCTCAAGAAGGCACTGTGAGACATAATACTGGGACCCCCAATTATTGCTACATACTTTGAGACTATATCACAGTGTGATTCGTGGAGTTAGGCAACAAAAATACTTTTTGGTTATTTTAAAAAAGTCTGAATTAGATTTGCCACTTTGAAGTCTGATTGCTAAGTCAGTCTGTTTCTTCTTTTTTTTTTTTTTCTCTCTCGTTTTTCAACTCGGACGGGCTACAACCATTTACATTCTAAAAAAAAACCCATAGAAATTCCGCAAACTACTTCCACAGCATCGAGACCGATTTCTATAAAGAAACCATGCAATCTTTCAGATTTACGTAAACAAAGAAAGAAATTAATGAAATAAATATTACATACCATCTCTTAAATTAAGAATTTTACTCATTTACAATAAAATAACCAAGTGAAAGTTACAAAAAGGCATATATTACTGTGAAAAGAACACACTCCACATTTTGCCGATTAATAATGAAAATCATAATTTAAACATAATAAAAGAATATATATCTATTGCTTTTCATCATACCCGATAAATACAGTATGAACAAATTACCAATGTATACTTTTCACAAGATAATAAATAAGTTAAATAGTTTCATATTGAGTTGTGTGCAGTGACTCATACATGCAATCAACTCAAACAGCTAAAAAAAATTTAAAAAAAATCAGCAGTTATTCTCCAACAATTACAAACTAAACTCAGTTGAGTGCTTCCAAATAAAGCAACAACAAAAAATTGTTCTAAAAGCCAAACATCCACTAAGTGGTGGCAATGGAACCAATATTAAACTTTGGAATGAAGGTTTTAGCATTTGTTATAATAATAATATATAGATATATATAAAAAAGAAGGTTGTTATCAAGGCATATTCTTGGCAGGATGTTGGATTTTTCTTTTTTTTTTTTTTTTCCTAAAAAAAAAGCTTATAGGTTTAGTATGTTCTGTGTTTTTATTTGAACTGGATTGAAAGACAAACTAGTTTGTAACTTTTTTCTGTGTGTCTGCAGGATTGGAGGAGCTGGGCTGGCGAACCGGCGCTCCCCGGATTGTTTGTTGCTTTCTGGTGCTGTCTTTTCTAATGCTGTTTTTTTTTTTTTTTTAGGAACACAGATGGAATGGCTGCTGCTGGTGCGTATCATAACTTGTCTCCAAAGAACGACAACAACAAAAAAACCCCGAAACAAAAATCCCCTTCTTCCAAGGTCTCTCTATAAAAATAGGTTTGTTCATTTCGTGTCATTTGCCCTTTTGCAAAATGCTTTGTTTCTCGTTTTGTTCAGCTCTCGGTGTACAGATATATAAAATAAAACCAACCAAAAATAGAGAGGAAGGAGAGGTTTCGCTTTCTTCGCTCGGTAACTTACTTGCAGGGCCGCCGCGAGGCCCCCCCGGCCGCTGCCCCGTCCTCCCTCAGTCGTCGGAGATGGAGAGGCGGCTGAAGATGGGCAGGCGGCGGCCCGAGTCCAGGCTGGGCGACTCGGAGCCGCTGAGGGAGCCGGAGCTGAGGGAGCCGCTCAGGTAACTCTCCCGATCGGAGAGCGAGTCCGGCGGGCTGGGCGGCGCGTCGAAGACGGGCGACTCGGAGAGGCGGCGGAGGGGCTGGAAGCTGAAGGGCGGCGAGGCGGGGGGCGGCGGGCAGGCCCCGCCGGGCGGCGGCGGCTGCTGCTGGCAGCGGTAATAGGCGGCGGCGGCCGCGGCCGCGGCGGCGGCAGCGGCGAAGTTCTGGGTGTGGAGGGCGAGGGGGGCGATGAGGCTGCCCAGCTCCTGCCCCGAGAAGGCGAAAGCGTTGTTGGCGCAGGGCGGCGAGAGCAGCTCCTCGCAGTAGGAGGCGGAGGCGGGCGGCGGCGGCGTGCGCGAACCGCCGGGGCTCTCCAGCAGGGCGGCGTCCAGGCGGCCACCGGGCGGCGGCGGCGGCGGGGCGGTGCCGTGCGGGTGCGGGGGGTGATGGTGGTGGTGGTGGGCGGAGAAGCCGGAGAAGCTCAGGCTGTGGTGCAGCTTGGGCCGCTCGCCGCCGCCGCCGCGCGGGTGCCCGAAGCCGCCGCCGCCGCCCAGCGGGTGCTCGCGGGGGGCGAAGGCGCGCAGGTCGCCGGTGGGGGGGCGGCCGTGCCCCCGCCGGGCGCCGGGCGGCGCTCGTCGGCGTTGTGGATGAAGTGGCAGCGCGGGCCGTAGGGGCAGAAGCCGATGGTGTGGAAGGTGCGGCAGAGCTCGGTCTTGTACTTGGGGTGGCGGGTGAGGCTGCGCAGCTCGTGGAAGCCGTGAGCGAACTGGCACTTCTCGCCGTACTTGCAGGCACCGCTCTCCTCGAAGGGGCGGCACAGCTCCGTCTTGTAGCGCGTCGAGTTGATGGGGGCCCCGCCGCCGCCGCCGGAGCCGCTCCCCTTACCGGCCGCCTGCTGCTGCTGCTGAAGCTGCTGCATGAGGTGCTGGCTACGCTCGCCGTTCTCGCTGAAGGAGCGGTCCCGGAACTTGTTCTCCTTGTTGAGCAGGGCCGTGGGACTGCTGCTGCCGCCGCCTCCGCCGGAGCCCGTCTCCTTCAGATTGCCGAACGAGGAGGAGGAGGACGACGACGAGGAGGAGGAGGATGTGGAAGAAGAGCTGGAGCCGGTAGGGCTGGGGAACTTGGAGCCGCCGGCCAGCGCCGTCAGGTTGCTGGTTGAGTGCCGCCGCAGGAAGCCCGGCGCGAAGCTGGAGCTGGGAGGGGTCACCGGGGTCCCCACGGCTTTCTTGTCCAGCATGCTGCTGAGGTTGGTCAGGGACTTCTCCGTCTGCCGGGGCGGGGAGAGGGGAGGGGGTGGGGGAGACAGCGGGAGAGAGAGAGGGTGTTGCGGGTGACCGCCTGCCCACGGCCACGGCTCCCCACCGCCGCGGGAGTCGAGGCGGGGGTCGCGCCGCCCGACCGCCCCCAAAGCGGGTCTGCCGATAGCGCCGGCGGGGCAGGACAGCGCCGGGGAGAAACCCCCGCGCCAGCTCTGCTGCATTTGCAACTTTTGAAAAAGTTCCTCCTAGCAGCGCAACATGCGGGCAGGGGCTGCAGGGCGGCCCGGCTCCCCCGCGGCTGCAGGACCAGCCCGCCCCGAACGCGGCCGCCGGGAGACCATGGGGCGGCATTCCGGGGCTCGCAGCCTTGCGTCAGCTGCTGTCCCCGGCCGGCTGTCAGACCGTGACCCGCCCGCAGAGCCCGGCCCGGCACGGGCCTCCCGTCCCGCCACGCTGCCCCAGCTGCCCGGAGCGCTGCACATGGCGGCAGCGGCAGACCGCGTCCCGCCCAGCCAAACGCGCTCTTCCCTACCTTGCACAAGAAGTCAATGTCGTAGAAGGCAGATAAAAGTGTCGTCGACATTTCTAGATCCTGTAATGGTCGGATATACAGGAAGGACCGAAAGATCCCGCTTTCCTCGGAGGGTTTGGAAAAGCCACGACTAAATAGGAGAGGGCCGTCTGCTTGAGATCCGAAACGGTCCCGACTCCTTCCCGGCGGGACGGCGGGTGCCGGGCCGAGGCGGCGACGGCGGCTGCACAGCAGCGGGCGAACTGCGGGAACTCGGCGGCTCCCCGCGCCGCTCCCATATAAACGCGGCCGCCGCTGTCGCGGAGGCGGTGCTCCACTCCGCCCGCCCCGCGCCGCCCGCCGGGCCCGCCCCGCTCCAGCCCGCCGGTCGGGCCGCCCAGAGTCTTACAGAGGGCGCTGGCAGCGGCGGCGGGGCAGGTTCGTGGGGAGCGCCTGTGCTGCAGTGCGCCCGCAGCGCGGGTGGGACGAGGCGGGGGGAGCGGGGAACCAGCCGAGGCAGCGCTCACAGCGCCCTACGGGCTCGGCCCCTGTGGAGCGCCCCTCTTCTCCCCGACGCCTCCGCGTTGCCGCTGCCCGCGCACGGCGGCCGCGTCCCCGGCCGGGGGCGGCTGCTGCCGAGTGGAGGACGCGCGGGGCCGGGCGAGAGGCGCGGCAGCGCCGAGGACACTTCTTCCTCGCGCCCCGCCGAAAATAAACTTTTGCCACGTAATTGCTTGAAACAAAGGTCGGGACCGCGCTGCCCCGGTGCGGCTGGAGGGACGGGGCCGGGCACGGGCTGCGCGCCCCGCCGCTTCCCTCTTTTCGGGGACCTCGGGTTTGGCGCTTACTTTTTTTCTGAAGTTTGGGAGAGGTTGGCGGCCAGGCGCGGAGGCGAGGTGGCATTATCCTCGCACTGGCCTGACTGATACACTACCCGCACCTAACCCTGTCTGCATCTCCTTCCGCCGCCCCGCACCCCTCCCACGTTTCTCTTCCACGTTCGGCCCCTTCCTTCCTCATCCCCGCCAAGTGAGACCCATCGAGTCCCCCGGCCGCCGCCTCAGGTGCCCTCCCCCCCACCGCCGGAGCGCTGGCGAAGGCAGCGGCCGGTCCCCGCGGCGAGGCGCCCTCCCGGGACCGAGCCGGCCGCCGGCCAAGGCGGGCCGGGAGCCGCCGTGCAAAACACCCCCGCCCCCCCCCGCGCCGATAAGGCCGCGCAAACACGACGTGGGAACGGCGGCGGCGGCTCCTCTGCACCCCCATCCCCTCCCGCGTTTGCTCGGCCCCGGGACAAATGGGAAAGAGAACAGAGGCGGACGGACGTGTAAAGTTTTATGGCTGCTAAAGCCAGCAGAGGCGTTTGATCCTCTTTCGTTTCCGAGCCGGGATGGCAGTCCCGCGCGCTCCAAGGGAGCAAACCCGACCACGTCAGCAGGAGCGCGGCGCTGTGCAAACACATTTGCAAAGGAAAGGAACCTCGGGCTGGGGAGCGGGGGTGTCACCAAAGCCCCTCGCCCCGGGTTTCGCCCTCGCTCCCCGCTGCCCAGCGGCTCACGCCCTCCTTTGCTTCCTCCCCTCGTCCTCCCCCTCCCACCGCTGCGGGAGGGAGGCTGCGGGCGGGACCCTGCCCGGACCCTGGCACCGCCCGTGAGCCGTCACCCACGGCTGGACGAGCCCGGAAACGGAGATCGAAATCTCCCGGGAAAGACGAGGGGCTGGGCGGCGGAAAGCCCAAACTTCACTCCCTCCCGTGTCCCGGCAGTCCCCTGGGGCCCGTCCGCCGCTCGGCGAGCGCTGCTGGGCTCGGCCGGGCGGGCTCCGGGCCCCGCTCCCGGCCCCGCTCCCGGCCCCTCCCGCTGCCCGCGCGGCCGGCGGGGACGTGCCGCCCCCCAGCGGCCGCCGGCTCCTGCGCCCAGCGGTGCCGGGACACATCCCACGTTCCTGCTCCTTCCCCTCCTCCCGCCCTGTCGGGGGCCGCAGCTCCCGTCCCGACGACAGGCGCTGCCCCGCACACGGGGAGCCGCCGGAACGCGGGGCTGCAGCCGTAGCGCGTATCGCTTCCCATAACCTTCTCCGGGGCCGGTCGGAGTCGCCTCCGCACTGACCCGAGTTCAAACTCTTCCTCCTCCCACACAACTCTGCGATGGAAACATCACCTCGGAGCTGATCCTGACTGCCAGACAACCGAGGGAACAGTTTACTGTGACAATCATGCACGGATCAATGTGTCAACGCCGTTGGGAGGAATACTTTGATAAACTGACTTTGATCAAACACACGGCCGATAAGTGCTCCGGCATCAGGTTTTGCTAACACTCGCCTGCAATCGCTCCTCAGGGTCTAAAGGTTCTTCATTTACTAGTTACACAGTAACCCATCATCAGCACGGTGTGGTGAAATGTATGTGCACCGATATAGTTCTTGGTTGCTCTCTTATAAACTCAAGCAGGATGACAGAGGTTCCAGTTGCATCTTAAAACCACAATAAGGAAGACCGGGTTTTCGAGCTCTTTGGTAACTGATTAACCAAGTCCTCAAGGCTTCACCAAGTTTTACTGTGGGTCACTGTGGGTCTATTACTGTCTGCAGTCACCTGTCTGCATTTATCGACTTGCCAGTATCAAATGTATATGCATATGCGTTTTAAATTCTACCCAATTATAAAAGAAGCCAATGTTACTACACAGTCTTATGCTACCCACTGACATGAGCAAGGTCTCAGAACTTTACAGTTATTTTGATACATAAAAAAGTTCTTTTTGTCTCCTACTATAGAAGCTGTTGCCACACTAGTTCAGAAATGATGGAAAGATGTGACAGAATCAGCAGCTGTTAATTAATTGTACAGGTCTTGACTATTTTTTTAAGAGTGGCTTCCAGACACAATCTGGGCTATTCTTTCCCCAGGAGCTCAAACCAGATGCATACAAATTAATTTTTAGCCTAACTCACAGCATGGTTTGTTGAGTTGGACAGTGAGCATTCTGTGAAACATCATTTCGGATTCCAACATTCTCTTTTGCCTGTTGAAGCCTCAAGTTTCGCCATAAAATTACTTCTTATATAAGTAACCCTGAATCCTGGAAACAGAGCAAATACTAAACTTTTATTCCTAAATTCTGTTTGTTGGGTTTTTTTAAGTGGTGACTTTGTGCAGCGTTGATGTCCACTGGACCCAGCTCAGCAGCTTAGCTCTATTTACAGCAGAGTATTTAAACTCAAGAGAGCAGCGATCGGCTGTGGGGCACCGCAGCGCCCAGCACTGCGAGAAGCGCCGGCCCAAGCCTTTACCCTGCCCTGGCTGATCCGGATCCCGATCCCGATCCCGTTCCGGCGGGAGCGCGGGCCCGGCCCGTGCGCGGCGGTGCTGTGGCGCCACCTGGCGGCCGCGCAGCGCACCCGCCGAGCCGCGCCCGGCCGCGGGACGAGCGCTCGGGCGGCACCCGGGCGTCTCCGGGATTGGGAGCTAAACTGCGTTCTGACACCATCAGGTGAAGAGGCTGAAAGCAACCAGGCGTTCATCGGACATGTTCTTCTTCCAAGGACACAGAAATGACGGCGTACAGGGCCGCACATCCGTGTTGTGGCGGGCCCAGCCACACCGCAGCCACACGTCCAGTTGCAGCCCTCGGCTATGGGAAGGTAACACAACCTTTCCACATCACCATTTATTTTTAATGTCTCATTTTCATATCGAAACCCAATTCCAGTTTGCAGGAAAAAAACATTCAATGCGCAATGAGCTTTTTTGTATTTTAGACTCAGCAAGACCCTGGAGCAGTCAGAATAGTCCCTAGAGCTGCCCCACCTGGTGAGAGCATCTCGCAGAAGCGAGGGCTGCAGCGCACAAACACCTCTGGTACCTTCCGAGGGCCCTCACGCTCCTCGGCAGGACCTCGCTTTCCAGGCCTGCTTGCAGAGCAAGGTGGTGGAAGTAAAGATGAAACTGTTCCGTTTGCAATGGAACAGCTGCTTCGTTTTGAACATAGCAAGTCTTCATTTTAGAGCCATTTTATGAAAGTAGTTACTTCATTTAAAGGAGAAAAGAGGCGTGCAGAAATCTAACTAATGCTGTTTCAATGTGCAAAACAGGGTTACTACCAAAGTGAAAATCCTTGTCTTCCTCCAGAGCAAAATGCAGTAAAATTTAAAATATACTCTAAAAATTCCCATAAACAAAAAAGTCATGGTTTTTCTATTAGAAACGTTTAAAGGTTTTTTAAAAAGCATATTTATTTCATAAGTTACATGCTAAATCTTGAAATGAGACAAAAACCCCCCCTTTTTCTTGGTATTAAGATACAGGAGGTAAAAATGTGGAACAAAACATAACAGAACTACAGGTGGCCTGCACCTGGATGAATGGAAAATATTAAGTTTAGCTGCTTTACTTCCTACAGTAGCTGTAATAAACAATGCTCATCTGAATGAAATTAGCAAATGCATTTAAAAGGAAAAGTCTTCCACTGCATGTCCCATAAAAAATAAATCAATGCACAATTAATCAATACAAAAAAATGTAGTTCTAGCCTGAATACTGAAGGTACTGCAGGTTTCCTGAAGTCATCACAGCAATCCCTGATTCCTTGAACATTACTGGAATACAGTCTCCCTGCCCATCCAGTAATGTGTGCAGCTCCCTGAGGATGAAGTTTTAGTCATTTACTTTTCCAGAATTTCATTTTTGCAAGTGTCATCAGGCTTCAGCAGATTTAATATTTTAAGACAGACTGATATTCTCTCCTTTTGAATAGCCAATCTTGTGAATTCTGGAGTTCTGGAAAACTCTGGAAGCGGAGGTAGAGCTCCAAGAAGGTGTTCAATGCGGTGGGCTTGGTCCAGTGCTATTCTTGATAGATGATTAAGTTCCCCATGATCTGGTAAGGTGAGGTGAGTCACTGATACAAGATGTAAAAGGTGCTTACTCAGCTGTCTCACATGAGTCAGCTTCTCTGCCCAAAAATTCACTTCCCCTTTATCAAACAGGGAATCATCTTCTTCCTTAACAAAAAGAAAACCAACAGTGATTAGAAAATTACTTGTGGTTTGATAACAATGAGAAAATCATAAAATATATGAAAAAAGAGATATATAGAACTGATGACTGAGGCTGTCACAGAACAGCTTTTTATATTAAAAACAAGGTAAACATTCATATGCCTTTTCTTAAAGGTTTGGGAAAACACAGTAAAAAGGTTCCTACTTTGCCGAAGAAATTTTACCTTCAAAGATCAGGCAGTTATGGCACAAGTCTTGGGAAATAGTGGAAGTAAATAGCAGCCCTAATCCTTCACATGTGCTTGCCTTCCCCTATGAAACAGTATTATATTTCACAAAGACCTCTGTAAGCAGTATGGTAATTTGCTATATTATGGAGCTTTTTGACTGGATTAAATGAAAATTGCATTGGTCAGTGAAACATCAGAAATGCACACCTAAACTACAGACTTAAGATTAATGATCTATTTCATGGGTCATATTAATTGCCAACAAATTTCTCAAAGATGTAGCTGCTCCTGTTCCTTCTGGTATACCTTCCAGCACTGACTTTTACAGTCTTCTAAAGACAAAAAGAACACAGTATATTTATACAGTAACAGCTTTCACAGAACCAGTGTGGCAAAGCTTTACAGAAACAATCCTGAAATCAATGACTGATGTAAGCAAGACTGTTTCATGTGTTATGCAGAACCAGTCAGATGGATGATGGCATAAAGTTACCAAATATTTAAATGCTATC